TTGTACTGGATAACTGCCACCAAGTATTACTACCTATAAGCCTAGTAAAAAGTTGATTCAGTCCTGAGGGGTTAATATCATATAAGTTTTGACCTATTCATAGTTTAAATACCATATTTTGTTATCTTTTGTCTGATTTTCACACCTGGAAACCAATGTGCACTGCGGTATTATCACCTAGATTTCACACATGAATTTTATATAATTGTAGGCTGTTTTGGAGAGTTGATTTCAACCAGTCATTTTTATGTACCTTGAGTCAAATTGACTACCATCTACTGAACCAGAGAATTGGTTTTGGTCAGTCTAGATTATGTATGTTAGCCATATAGTTTTGTTAAAATCACATACAAGAGTGTGATATGCCTTTGCAGAATATTAAAGGTGATATTTTGGTAGAAAAATATAAGTATTTTCTTTACTGTGCCTAACGTACCCACCCCAGTGTCCTGCTGAGCTACCAGTGTCTTATTCCTGCTGTATAGAATAAGGCACTAAAAATACTAACTTTTGTAGCAAAAACTCATGAAATTCAAATCACCTAGTGGATTTCAGGCTGATAAACAGCCACCTCAGGGGAAAATCCCAACTCAGTTCAATAATCCTTACCCCCTGAGTTTTGCAAGTTACAGCTGCTCTCTTTTTCACCTCAAGTTGCATCGGCATGACCCTCACGAGTGTTGTCAGGGCCAGCGTAGCAGTTGTGCTGAAGGCTCCTGTCATTCTGACAAGGAACCCTCGTTGTGTCCTGTCAACCTTTTCTTTATTCTTGATGTTTTGCAGCCTATGTACCCACACGCTTGCACTGTAACCAGTTATCGATGCCAATACCACGCTCCAGTAGACTCTCACCTGTCTGAACGGTATCCTGACTTCTCTTTGCACCAGGCTCGTTATCCTGTGCATTGCCGATGATGCTCTGTTGCAGACGTCCGTGATGTGATAAGCAAACATCCTGGATTCATCCATTGTGATTTCCAGATATCTGACTCTCTGCTTTCTTCGGACCAACTGACCATTGTTCCGAACTTGCGGGTCTCTGTTTAGCTGTCCTTTCACAATGTTATATGTAGTTTTTTCTGTCGATATCCGTAGTTTGACTTTATCACACCACCTGTTCACTATCTCAAGAACATTATTGCATTTCCTCTCGATTTCTCTTCTGCTGTCTCCGTCCACGATTATTAACAGATCATCAGCATATTCAACAGTGCCTAGTGCATCTCCAGCTTCGAACAACCGGACAAGAAGCTCTTCGAGCATGATATCCCAGAAAAATGGGCCGCTCACAGAACCTTTAGGACATCCTTTAGTTAGACATTTTGTCTTTTTGCCTATTGGACAGCTCAGACTTGCATATCTATCTTGACAGTAGCTTCTAAAACTTTTATACAGTTTTTCCGGGCATCGCATTTCTCGAAGTCTTTCGAAAAATGCGGGCCACCAGAGATTATCAAAAGCTCCTGATATGTCTATATACAGTGTGTCCCACTTACCATGCTCACCATGGGTATCTTTTAAACGGTGAGAGATACGAGGTCGGTTAAATGACACCAAATGTGGAGTTTGTCAAGGCCAACTAAAATGCGAAAAAAATTTTTTATAAAAACTATTCGTTTTTGTTTTATACGCAAAAAACAGATTTTGATCATTTTCATGTTTCCTCCGTAACTAATTTATTTCTGAAAATATTCAAATAGGAATTTCACATTATCATGGCAGTTTCTTGAAGTGATTTCGAAAAAAATATGAAATTTATTCCAACTCTTCTAGAATTTGAGATATCAGCACCAACTTCAGTTTTTCAAATGTAGGTCATAGCTCACTATGACTTGGTTACAAATAACTTTTTTTTCTCTTTCAGATGATATGTCGCAGTAATAGTTGTGTGTTGATAACAACGGAGTTATCGTCATTTATACAAGAACAAAAAATTATTTGGAAGCCGCCATTTCGAATTTATAAATTTTATCAAAAAAATCATGATCTCCGACTTCAAAAACACCCACTCACCAATTTTGAATGGAATCGGACCAAATCTTGTCCGCCATCTTGGAGCAGCCATTTTTTTTAATTTCAACGAAAATTCTATAATGTATTGTCACCGAAATTATGAACACCTGCCAAATTTCGAGTTAATCGGAGTTATGGAATTTTTGTTGAGATTAAAAAAAGGCTGCTCCAAGATGGCGGACAAGATTTGGTCCGATTCCATTCAAAATTGGTGAGTGGGGGTTTTTGAGGTCAAAGATCATGATTTTTTTGTTGAAATTTATAAATTCAAGATGGCGGCTTCCAAATAATTTTTTGTTCTTGTATAAATGACGATAACTCCGTTGTTATCAACACAAAACTATTACTGCGACATATCATCTGAAAGAGAAAAAAAAGTTATTTGTAACCAAGTCATAGTGAGCTATGACCTACATTTGAAATACTGAAGTTGGTGCTGATATCTCAAATTCTAGAAGAGTTGGTATAAATTTCATATTTTTTTCGAAATCACTTTGAAAAACTGCCATACGAATGTGAAATTCCCATTTGAATATTTTCATGAATAAAGAAGTTACGGAGGAGACATGAAAATGATCAAAATCTGTTTTTTGCGTATAAAATAAAAACGAATAGATTTTATCAAAATATTTTTCCACATTATAGTTGGCCCTGACAAACTCCACATTTGGTGTCATTTAACCGACCTCGTATCTCTCACCGTTTAAAAGATACCCATGGTGAGCATGGTAAGTGGGACACACTGTAGATCGCTATTACATATTTTTTGTCGCTACTGTCAATCGTTGCTATGGCCTTGTTGATCGCATCTTTTGTCGATTTTCCTGGCCTATAGCCATATTGGTATGGATGGATTCCAATTATTTCTCTATGCTCATCAAGTTTTTTGCATAATAATTTCTCTTGTAGCTTACCCATCGAGTTCAATAAGCATATCGGTCTCCATGATTTCGGTTTTATTGGATCTTTGTCTTCCCCTTTGCTTAATATTATTACATCAGCTTGCTTAAAGATTTTTGGTATTTTACCCTGTCTTAAACATTCATTATATAATTTGCACAGAGCCGGGATCAGTTTTTGCCTTAGTGCCATTAGCACTTCCACTGGTATGCTATCAGGCCCTGGAGCCTTTTTCTTTTCCATTTTATTTAAGCATTCTGTTATTTTATCTTCAGTGAATGGATTCAAGATCGTCTCTGGTGGCTCATGGTATGGCTGTACCACTGCCCTTCTTGTGACTTTTTGTTCCACAGTCTCTCCCTCGTGCTCATCTGAGGGTAATAAAGTTAGCATCAGGAGCTCGGCCGATTCCTCCCATGTCCTGGTCAAGGACCCGTCTTCTCTTTCAAGAGAGGAGAGCATGGTAGGACATCTGACCTTTTTCGTTACGATCTTGTAAGGCATTCCCCATATGTCCGTTTCCAGATGGGTTTGTATAAACTTTTCCCAGCTCTTTGCTTTTGTCTCTTTTATTTGTGCGAGGTAATTTGTTCTTAATTCTCTGTATCTTTGCAGGAGTCTTTGGCGTTCTTCATGTACTCCGCATCTCTGGTATCTTCTTCTCGCATTCCTGACTAGGGTTCTTTGTCTGGTGAGCACTTCACTCCAAGCATCGTTTCTTGGGTATTTTGCAGAGTACGTTTGGGGGATGGCAAGATTCATTACTCTCTTGATCTCATAGGTTATGCTCCTTGCATATTCATGTACATCTACCTCCTCTCCTTCCAGTCTCGGCGGCTCGAACTCAGCTGCCAGAGTTTTCCAGTTCGCTCTACTCGATCATGTCATATCGTTTCACCATTGGTCCCATATCTGCCTCTTCCTTTCGGATGCCAAAACTTATCAGATTGTGGTCACTCACTGTTAGGTTATCCCCAACCCCCCATTCCACGATCTGGTTTGCCGCCTTAACATTTGATATCGTAATATCTATGTTGGTCGCGGCACCAGCCCTGTTCTGAAAGGTCGGTGGGTTGCCTGCCCTGTTGTGTACTTCAAGTTGAAGTTCATTTATAAGGTTTTCCAGTTCTTCGCCTTTGGCATCTGTTGTTTCAGAGTGCCACAACACTGATTTTGCATTAGCATCCGCTGCTATTATGACAGGGATATTCCTGTATGTTAGGAAAATTCTTCGCATTTTGCCAATGTATTCTTCTATGCCCTCATTGAATTGGCAGTATATGTTCGCAATGATGAATTTACCGATATTCGTTTGTAATTCCGTACAGACGCAGTGCTCGTCACTGAACTGTTTCAGCAGAAACAGTATAGTTCTTGTTGAACAGTACAGTTGCTGCCATTGGATTCTGCCCTATGCTTTGTATTTGTGCCGTTATCGGCATGTTGATCATTTTCCCTCGTTTTGTGTAGGGTTCTTGTATACATAGCATGTCCACCTTCATTTCCTCCGCAACCTTCTTTATCTCATGACCAACTGCTGCACTGCGCATGCAGTTGATCTGTCCGATTCGGATCGCTACGGTGATCTTAGGTGTATGTGGCACTCGGGCCAGGGCTTTGTGTGATCAAAAGCCACTCTTCCATGGGTTTGTGCAAAGTCACTGTAAAGTTCCTCAAGGTCCAAGACCTCGTTTCTTCTGTCGAAGACTTGCTTCAAGAGTCTTTTCAGTTCGGTGACGTCTGTAGGAATATTATGACATTTCAGCTGAATTCCATCCACCGCTCCCGAAACCGGGAAGGTGATTTTGTTTCCTTTGATATGCTTATTCCTCACATAGTGCCTTAGGGCAGTTGTGAGGATCTTTGCTTCTTCCAGTCTTGAAAGTTGCATATTTACTTCCATATTTTCATATATGGTTTTCGTGTCTGTTTTTGTTTCCTCGATTATTATGGGTTCGCTCTCTCTCTCCTTTTTCTTTCTTTTGAAAGATAGCATTCTGAGCTTGTCCCTTAAGCCTTTGGAAGGGGTTTTCTTAGATGTTGTTCCTCTTTCTTCTACCTTTATGGCCATTATCTCTGAAGGGAGATTACTGGCCATAGTCAGTCTTCTGGATCATCCTGTCCAGCAGCATCCTGTGCGTCTGGCAGTCTGACCCATTCTTACAAGATTTCCCCCTGTTCTTGCACGGAATGCAAGTACTCGGGTCTTGTTTCTTTTGACAATCCTTCTTTTCATGGCCACTCTCTCCACAGTGGCTGCATACGTTCTCGGTTTTTGAACAGTATTTGCCAATATGACCTAGGTCTTGGCACTTTAGGCATTTCGGGACTACTATGTAGTCCTTTGTATTCACACTGGTGAAGCCAATGTATAGTTTTTTACCACTCATCTTTTTCCTCAACTGTGGAGATACCTCCACAACTAAGTTGCATGTTGCTCTGCCTTTTGGCCCAGTTTTAAAACGTATTCTGAATTCATTTTGGAATTCTTCCTCTGAGATATCCTCAAAGTTCTGTGTTCGTATATCCTCAACGATCTCGTTGTCCGGTTTATTCGTAGTCACGTCGTATATGATCATTAAATGTCTCTTCTTTTTGGGCAATTCGCATTTAAAGTCCTTTTTCATGTGTGGATTACTCATGATCTTTTCGAGATCTTCTTTCGAGGACGCTTCGATGATCAGAGCTTTTGCGGTTGTCCTCATTTTGTTAATTTTCAAGATTTGTGTTCTTGGATCTAGGATCTTCGTAACCTCATCTTGTACCTTTTTGCCGTTATTAAATTTGTCTGACGTGATGAACAAAGTATGTTCTGGCTGCCTTCTTGATCTTTCGATGATCTTTTCTTTTTCAGTCAGTTTGCTTATGGGTTTTGAGGCCACTGTCGCATAAGACATTGGCATCGACACCTGTTTCTGTTCTGCCTGTTTAAGCTCCTGTCTTAGCCTTTCATTTTCCTCTTCGAGTGCTTGTATACGTCCTTCCAGGTTTGCCTGTTCGAGTCCCCATTCTTGGACTCTTTCAATCAATCCTTCACGACCTGCTTTCGCGAGTCGCTTGCTGATGTCCATCTAATTGTTTATATAATTCATCATGTCGATGAATCTTGATTGGGTTGTATCTCTCTTGGAGATGCACATGTCTACCTCACTGGCTACACTGCCTCTCCTAGTTAAACTACGACTATTACTATTACTACTACAGCTACTTTGACTCTGACTCTGACTTTGGCTCATTGTTTCTGGCATAGTGCCCCTTAAGGGGTCTCCCTCCTGGGAGGCCCTCTCTCGAGATTCCCACTATAACCCTACCCACAGGAGTTCAGTCTTACCAGTCTTCGTGCTCTTTGCCCTACTGTGGATCTTATTGCGGGATGACCCCGGCTTATAGCCACAGAGTGGTTTCCGCCCCCGACCAACGAGGAGGTGGCACTTTTTTCCACTATCTAGCCTTGTTTTTGTTTTTTACCGTCTTGCCCAGTACACACTGAAGACAACCGGTTTTTTAGAAAGCTATTGATAGCCTTTTTACACTTAATCGAAAAGGGGGGATGGTCCCACCTCCACCCCTGCACTTGGCAGGCTACTGATTTGGTCTGAAGTTATATTGAAAGTAAAAAAAAATGAATAAATAGTGATTAACTGGGCTCTCACTGGAGTACTGCCTTTCGGCTTGACTCCAGTTGCAGAAAAATTTTTGAATAATTTCCCCCCTTTTCTCTTTTTCCTGCGCTCATTAATTCATTTCTATTAAATACAAAGATATATATGATAACATACATAAATTTCTTAATAATTTCTTAATTAGTATTATGAATTCACAAAATGATATAAAAGTACAAAATATTACATGTTGACAAAATCTAAAATCTATTATTATTTATAAATACAGCTAGACGATCCAAGTTCGGGCCTATTGCGGTGATTCTTTCTTCAGCTGTAATCGCTGGTTCTGCATCACCTAATTCGTTCATTAGGCTTTGTCTCTGTTCATTGTAGTTTCGACAGTTCATAAGTCTGTGGCTTGGGGTGTCTGGAATATCACAAATTAAGCAGTTTGGGCTGTCAGTCTTGCCTATCCTGTTGAGGTGAAGTCTCATTTCACCGTGTCCTGAGATAAATGATACTGCTATTTTGCCTGGCCTTTTATGGTAGGTATTATACCAAACGTTTATGTTCTTCATCACGTCGTACGTTGATCTTCCTTTGGTGGTTGTGTCCCACTCTAGTTGCCATTGTGCAATGTATGTGGCTTGGACGTGCAACCTCAAGGCTGTCCAGTATCTGAATTCGTTGGCAATGACTTGTTCTTTTAGTAGAGTGGCTTCACCTGTAGCTTTAAGCTGTCTGAAAGTCTCTATCTGTTGTAATTCCAAGTGTATGGGTAATATTTTTGCTAAGATACATAAAGTTTCGTTAGGGACTGTTCTATACGCTCCTGTAATACATCTAAGGCACAGGGCTTGTAAAGTTCTTATTTTCCTTTTGGTGGTCTTAAGTTTTAGCCTATGGTGCCAAAACTCCAACCCATAACTCAATATGGGTATGATTGCTTTGGCACGTTCGCGGACATTGACGTCATTTCACGTCATTGACTTTAGTTTCATCAGGACACCAAGATAAAGTCAGGTGTGCTCAAATTGTCACAGTAATAGAATGAACACTTTTACACGTAGAGAAACGCAAAATGTAGCTTCAGAATCACATTTTTCCAAAGAATTAGAAGTACTGAGAAAAAAAAAAACTGCGTCAAATAACGTCATGACCCGTGAAAAGCATAGTTTATTTTCAAAATGACAGTGACGTCATATACCGCATGTAGAAATGAAATGAAAAACAGTGTATTTCGAAAGGAAAAAACATGTTTTATATAAAGAAACTGAAACTATAACAACTGAACGATAGGTACAAAATGCTTTGGTAGAAATATCAAAAAGGGATAACACTATACTTATTCATGCCAATCCTGGAAACATTTTCCTACACAAAGATGTGGCTTGCCTATGCAATCCCGACACTGCCAAGCAGTTTCTTTTCTTTTTTTCATCATATAACACTGCTTACAGCGCTTATAATATTTTCCATGTTTTTTAGAGTCTTCTGGTATAGGTATGGCCTCAAGGACATGACCAGTATTCTTCCTAGAATTTTTGGATGGTATGGATTTAGTTCCTTTCGGTATAGTTTTGACAAATTCTCTACCATCTTTTTGATCAGGTGAAATTCCGAGTAATAATTTGATTACCTCATTTCTAAACTCCTTGAACGATTTTTTTTTTCTTGATTGCTCTTATTATGTAAATAGTGCGAGTTCCACACGGCTATGTCCAGTAGGTGGAATATGACTTTTTTGTGCCATCTGATAGTTTTTCTAGGGTAGGAATAATAACTAATCATTTGATCAGCCCTGTCAATACCTGACATGTTTTCATTATAACGACTTATTTCTACTGGCTTTGTTTCTTCTTGCCAAACCTGTTAGTCGTCTCAATCAATTCAGGTTGATAGGCTGTTGTAATAGACAAAACATCACGTTTATCACGCCATTTGGAAACATACACATTGCCATTTCTTTTCCATAGGTGCTGTCCAGGTTTCAGTTTAGCCAGGGTTATTTCTTTCGGATTACCTTTTCTGTTGGAAGGTAATGTACCTGTACTATGCGTCTTCCGTTGCAATAACATTTTTGATAAAACAATACTGTTGTGAAAGTTATCCATATATACATGGTGACCTATATCTAGGAATGGCTCCAGAAGCCTTAGCACTAACGAGTTCAACTTTGAACTTCCCCTGGCATCTTCTCTATTCGATTTACCTTCATAAATCTCCATATTCAAGACGAAACCATCGTTTGAGCACAGTTCATAGAACTTGATTCCATATTTGCTCTTTTTATTTTTTATATAGACCCGAAATTTCAGTCGTCCTCGGAAAAGTAGGAGTGACTCATCTAAAGATAATGCCTCGGGAGGAGAAAATATGTTTTGGCTTGATCGTATAATTTTATTCAGTAACCAGCTGACTTTATGAAGAGGGTCGTCTTTATTTTTATCATCCGTACAATTGAGGCACCTCAAAATTTGTTCAAATCTTTGCCCTGACATGGTAGCAGGAAATATAGGATGATAATATAGTGGATTGAAAGAAAATAAATCTCGAATGGAACGAAATTTCAATTGGCCAGCCAAAAGACACAAATCAAAAATTTTTTTCAATTCATCGGTGGATATTTTTCGGAATATTTTGAACCGCTCGTGTCTCGGTTTAGGTCTATTAGATACGTTGAGTGTTTCAGCATGGTTGAACGTAAAGTCTAAAGGGGTACCTAAGGTGTCTTCCCATACATTTTCTTCTTGCTCAATTGGACGATCAGAATCGAGTGAACTTTCGCTGCCGGCTTGTTCCAATTCGGGCTGTGCACCTGAATTTTGGGATCGTTTTTTTCGTTTTCTTCGAGACGGACCGGCTAGAAAAAAGACAGAAAGATATATAAAATTACATTGAGTCTTCAAAAAATAAACACCCACCCTCATTCGAATCGCCGCTAGAATATGAAGAATAACTTTGAGTGTATTCGGGATCATCTATTGAATCGTCAGTACTGAATGGATCGTGTGTGCTTTCAGCATCCAATTCTGATATTTCATCCTCGGTCTCAACTTCATCAAGCCACGTAAGTAGCTGTTGTTCTTCCTGTTTTTCGTCCATTTTACGTATGCATCCAGCCAACCGTTCAGTACACACACTCTGACAATATCTAGATCTGAACTAAATAGCAGAAACGCGCCAAACGACTTTCGACTTCCTGACCATTTTGTTCCCCCCACCAACGCAATTCCGCAAACATTTTTCAACACGAGGTGTCTAGAAGGACACTTCACACACTTACATACAGAAAATTGACGTGATATCGCGCTAAACGTATTCACAGTGCATCAAGCATTTGACGGCAACTGCCGTCACTGCCCGGTCAGAATAAATAGCTGTTGCGGCTTATGCCGCTTGTGTCCATGCACACACATACCATGAAATATGAGTGTCCGCGAACGTGTTAATTGCGTGTCCCAGTTTCCCCATTCAGTGAAAAGGTGTTTTCTCAATGTTAGGAATATTGCTCTACATTTGTTAGTAATGTAGTTTATGTGTTCCGAGAAATTTAGTTTTTCATCTATCATGATTCCTAAATATTTAATAACATTTGTTCTTGCAACTGGGACTCCTCCTAGTCTAATAGCTGGATTCCTTCTATGAGATAGTTTTGAAAATACCAAATATTTTGTCTTTGCTCTTGATATTTCTAATTTGTAGGTTTGAGCCCATGTATTTAATATTCTCAAGCTTTCATTCATCTTTATTTCTAAGGTATTCCTATTATGTCCTGTAACAGTAATTGCTATATCGTCTGCATAAGCAACGACTTTAACATCTTCTGGCCATCTGGGCCTCAATAAAGTCTCCACGGTGAGATTCCAAAGAAAGGGTCCCAACGCGGAACCCTGCGGGCAACCTTTGGTAAGGGTCTTATTGATCTCTGTATATTTTGATTTGTAGGTTACTATGCGATCTCTTAAATAGTCCTTAATTATTCCTACTGCTGGGGCTGGTAATTCAATATCATGTAGATATTTTAATAGACCTGGCCACCACATATTATCGAAGGCGCCACTCATGTCTACAAATATTGTTGCTTTTTGTATGGCTGGTCTGTTAATGTTTTGAAGTAGTTCTCTTATGGCATGCTGAGTGGATTTTCCTGGTACGAAGCCAAATTGGTTATTGCTTATTAAATCTCCCATTGGTTTCGTTCTGCAAATTGCATTTATTACTGATCTCTCCAGGAGTTTGCCTAGTTATGAGAGTAGGGTGATAGGTCTGAGGGATTTCGGATCTGTCTGGTCCTTGTCTGGAGATTTCAAAATTGTTATTAGTCTTCCAATTTTCCACTTTTTAGGAAAATAGCTCAGCCTGATACAGGAGTCGATAAGTCTTTTCAGATTAATTTTTATGTATTGATAACACAGTGCCAATATCTTGCCATGTATTTGGTCTGGTCCGGGTGCTTTTAAAGCCTTAATAGCTTGTATAGCCTTATCTATATCTTCTTCGATTATTTCAAATTCTTGGGTTTGGTCACCAAGGAAGGTTATCTGATTTTCTCTTACTTGTCTGTTGTCTTCATTATCAGTATCAGCCGTATCATTTGGCATAAGCCTATCTATAATTTCTTTAAAAGTATCAGCAAATGTTTCTGTCAATTCACCGTCTGGCTTTTTCACCGTTTTGCTTATTAGTTTTGGTCTAATTTTGCCTGATGCTATTTTATAAACCACTCCCCAAGGGTTTTTTCCTAAGTCTTTTTCTACAAAAGTGGACCAGGAGTTTAACTTTGCTGCCTTTATTGCGTTTTTGTAATTCCTTAGGGCTCTTCTATATTCTTCGTGTTCACGGGCTTGTACCATCTCCTGGTCTCTGTTCTTAGAGATTCTGTACGCTTTATTTTTCCTCCCCACTTCTAGCTTCATGTCTGCCAGCTGTTGAGTCCACCAGTGGTTAGCTTTCTTATTGATTATTTTCTTTTTGGCAACATTTTTGGTTATATCTAGTAGTTGTTCTGTCAAGTATTCAATGAAGTTGTCGATTTCTTGGTGTGTATTTGTAGGTTTTTCGCTCATTCTGATATTTAGGGCTATCGCTTTGTTTTCTAATATGTCAGCCTTTATGGCTTTCACATTGTACACATCTTCCTGATGTTCTTCTAATTCATACTGAATTTGAAATTTGATCAATCTATGATCACTTTGTATTACGTTCTCGACAACCTCCCAGTCGGAAATTAATTATGTTTAACCTGTAGACCCTATAGTAAGGTCTATATTGCTTCTACCATTGGCAGTCTCGAATGTATATGGGTATCCAGGTTCATTAACTATGTGAAGATTGTTGGTAACAAGCATTTCTTCTATCTCGATACCTCTATCATTGGCGTTTTCTGAGAACCAAATTGGAGATTTCGCATTAAAGTCGCCCATTATTATGTAGTGTTCTGCCATTCTTTTATTTTCAATGCTTTGTACTTTGTTTATTGTACGTTCGAATTCTAAATCGTCTGCTGGAGGGCAATAAGCACTCATGACTATAAAACTTATATTGTAATGTTTTATGCAGGCTGAAGTGGTATATGTATCCGAGAATTGCGATATTCCCAGAACATCTATTTCCGGATTAATAATTATTAAAGCGGTCATTGGTTTTTCTTGGGTATTGTATATAATGTTGTATCTTGCAAAGCCTGGGATTTGGTAGCATCCCTTATCATTCCTAAAGCTATATGGTTCTTGTGCTGCGATAACATCAAATTTATATTGAATTATCAACTGACTCAGTTCTGTAGTTGCAGCTCTTGAGTTCTGTAAATTGATTTGGCCTACCTGTAAGTCGTTTGGTTCATGGGCCATAGTCAATATTGTTGATTTGATTCTGAAGTCTTCTGATATAGGTTGGACAGTTAGTATCATTTATCTCATGTGCATGGTTTTGGATATTTGAAACTTTACAATTATAACACTGGGGATCCTGTCTACTATTGCAATCTTTTGTGCTATGCTCGCCGGAACAATAACCACATATGGTTGTGTTCCTGCATTTACGGGCCAGATGACCAAAATTCTGACAATTAAAACATCTAACTAGTCTTAGATGATCTCTGATTTGGCAGACTTGCCAGTCTAAATATAATCTTCCTCTTTCGAGGATTTTTGTTCTAGTTTTATAGTGACATTCAATTATCCATGTCACTGTAGCTTGTTCTCTTTTGCCGAATTTGAACAGGGCTTTAACTTTTGCCTCGTCCTCTGAAATCTCTAGATCCATATTTATTTTATCCTCTAATTCTTGTGCTGTCCAGTCTTTTGCCAAATCATACACAGCCAGTCTTGGCTTAAACTTTGCTGGTTTTCTGGCTATTAGTCCAGCTTTTTCTAGTGAAGTTTCATTGATATTTGCTGCTGGAGTTATTATCTTGACTCCATTTCCTTGAGCAGGTAATAACTTCTTTGCTCTTATGCCTAAATCTTGGGGTTTAAATTTCTTGAGCGCTTGAAGAGTTTCGCTACTTGATTTTAACTGTGTGTTATCTTCCTTCGGATAAATTATGATCACTTCGTCCTTCGAAGGTTCCGCCGTTTTCCCTCTACCAAGTGGTATTTTAACTTTGTTGCTGGTGGCCGCTATGGCTGCATAACTGGGTTGAGATTGTGCACTATTTGTTGTTTCATTCGTAATTTTGTCAACCTTAGCATTAATATTGTTCATAATTTCAACAATCGGTTTCTCTGCCAGTCTTATCTTAGATTGAGTATATAACTCTGTGAACGCTCTAGTCATTCTCTCTAATTCCTCAATGGCTGCCTTTTTCCTGCCAGATGATTCCTTTGATGTGGTCAAAAAGTTCAGAATTTGCTCTTTGGCCTTAGAAAAAAGCTTAAGAGAATTATCTGGCTTATCTATTTCTGTCTCTGTCTCTGGTCTTTCTCTGGTTAGGATTATACTGCCACCAGAAATTGATTCTTGGTCGCTGGTAGGGACATTTTTTTTTTTGTTTTTCATTCACTCTATAAACTTTCGATCTGTTTTCTGATAATTTTTGAAACAGATCGTGTTTTGCTCTTTCTTTCAGTAATTTTGTTTCTATTATCTTTTTTTCTATTTTTTCACTTATTCCTAATGTTATAATTTGGTTAGTGAAATGCCTTAATCTACTAGGTGTTGGATTGTTATTCATGCTTGGTTGTTACATTTCCTTCATGCTTTCTTACATTTTCTTACAAGGTTTTCCAGCACCTAGACTTAATCTACTTACATCTAATGTTAGTAACTATATCTACATGCAATTCATGCAATTCATGCAATTCATGCAATTACTTTCCTACGTCCAACATGCACTATATCTAGGGTTTTCATGCATCATGCATACATGCATTCATGCAATGCTTATTCTACAACTACTAATCTACTACTTTTACACACATATTCCACTACCTAGAACACTGTAGGTCAGCAGATATGTGCAATCTTTCCTCCTTCTTCTTCTTCCTTCTGCGGGATGTAGTTCGGCGAGCCTTAGGCCCTTGTCCGGAACGTTTCCTCCCCTTTTATCTTCCGTCTTCTCTCTTATCTTCTGTTGTTGTTATACAGTTGTTGTTGTCTCAATGAGACTTGTTGTGACAATTTGTTCAAAATCTTGTATGTTTCCTCGTTGTTAATCATGTCCCTAAGGTCCATTCCTTGAATTCTGATTCTTAGGTCTTCTTGGTCAATGAAATTTGGACATTCCAGAACTACGTGCTCAGGCGTGCCTTCTTCTCCACATTCGCACAAGCTATTTTCTTTCAGGTTAAATCTATGTAGGTAACTCGGATACGGTCCATGTCCTGTGAGTAAATGTACAAGTCCAGGACTTGGATTAAAGTAGTCTGGTACCTCCTCCAGGACTGGTAGTACTTCATGCACTCTTTGGGCTTTATCTGAATTATCCCACATTTCTTGCCACTGAATTGAGATTTCTCGGTGGACATCCATTTTTCTTCTAACTTCTGTGCCGATAATAGCTTGCGCCTTAGCGTAGTCTGCACGCCTGATCCAGTACATGGCTGCTCGTTTTTTCAGCTCCAGCTGCATCGGCAGAACCCCCACTAGTGTTGTGAGGGCTAGCGTTGCAGTGGTGCTGAAAGCTCCTGTCATTCGTACTAGGAATCCTCTTTGGGTCCTGTCGACTTTCTCTCTGTTTTTGATGTTCTGCAGCCTATGCACCCACACGCTTGAACTATAGCTGGTGATTGATGCCAGTACCGCGCTCAGATAGACTCTCACCAATCTGAACGGTATTCTAACTTCTCTTTGCACCAGGCTTGTTATCCGGTGCATTGCAGATGTTGCTCGATTGCAGACGTCTGAGATATGGTAGGCGAACATTCTGGACTCGTCCATTATGACGCCTAGATATCGTACTCTTTCTGTCCTTCTCACAAGTTGTTGATTGATACGAATTTGTGGGTCTCTGTTGAGTTTTCCTTTTACAATATTGTAAGTGGTTTTCTCCACAGATATCTTCAACTTCGTTTCACTGCACCATCCGTGAACAGTTTCCAGGACATCGTCACATTTCTGTTCCAATTCCCTTCTGCTGTTCCCGTCCACCGTTATTAGTAAGTCATCTGCATATGCGACCGTGCCTAGTGCATTTTCCGTTCTAGTTAACCGTTCAAGTAACCCTTCCAATATGATGTCCCAGAAAATTGGACCGCACACAGAACCTTGAGGACAGCCTTTTGTCAAACATTTTGATTTCCTGCCTATTGATTTGCGTATCTATCTTGACAGTAGCTCCTGAAGCTTTTGTATAGTTTTTCCGGGCACTGCATCTCTCGAAGTCTTTCGAATAGTGCGGGCCACCAGAGATTATCAAATGCTCCTGATATATCAATGTATATCGCTATCACATATTTTCTTTCTCTACTGTCAATCGTTGTTATTGCCTTCTTAATGGCGTCCTCCCTGGATTTTCCGGCTCTATAGCCATACTGATCCGGGTGGACACCATTCCTTTCTCTGTGCTCATTTAATTTCTTGCATAGAAGTTTCTCTTGAAGCTTACCCATTGAATTCAATAAACAAATCGGTCTGTATGATTTTGGTTTAGATGGATCTTTGTCTTCCCCTTTATTTATTATGATTACTTCTGCCTGTTTGAACACTTTAGGTACTATGCCTTGCCTTAGACATTCGTTATACAGTTCTGTTAGAGCTTGGATAAGTGCTTGACTCAATACCAGTAGTACCTCTACTGGTATTTTATCAGGCCCTGGCGCCTTTTTCTTTTTCATTTGTTTGAGTGTTTCATATACTTGTTCTTCCGTGAATGGAATCAAGATTGTCTCTGGTGGCTCATGGTATGCTTGTACCATTGCCCTTCTGGTTTGCTGTTGTGCTTCAGTTTCTTCCTCGTGCTCATCTGAGGGTAGTAGTATTCTCATTAGGAGCTCGGCAGATTCTTCCCATGACCTGGTCATAGACCCATCCTCTCTCTCAAGAGAGGAGAGCATGGTAGGACATCTGACCTTTTTCGTAACAATCTTGTATGGCATTCCCCATGCGTCCATTTCTAGATGGGTCTGTACAAACCTTTCCCAGCTCTTCGCTTTTATTTCAACTATTTGTGCGAGGTAATTATTCTTTAGGTCTCTGTATGTATGCAAGAGTCTTTGACGTACGTCATGCACTCCGCACCTTTGGTACCTTCTTCTCGCATTTCTGACTTGTGTTCTTAGCCTTGTCAGTTCTTCGCTCCAGGCGTCATTTCTCGCATATCTTGCGGAGTATGTATGGGGGATAGCTAGATCCATCACTCTCCTTATTTCTCGGGTTATGCGCTTGGCATATTCGTGTACATCACCCACCTCTCCTTCCAGGATCGGCGAATCGAATTCAGCCACTAAGGTTTCCCAGTTTGCTTTATTTACGTCATATTTTTTCACCATCGATCCCATATCTGCCCTCTCTTTTTGAATACCAAAGCTAATCAGGTTGTGGTCACTCACAGTTATGTTCTCCTCGACCCTCCATTCCACAAGCTTATTAGCTGCCTTAACATTCGATATCGTGATATCAATGTTTGTTGCAGCACCAGCCCTGTTCTGGAAGGTCGGTGGATTACCTGCTCTGTTGTGAATCTCCAGTTGGAGTTCATTAATCATGTTGTCGAGCTCTTCGCCTTTTGCGTCTGTTACTCCTGAGTGCCACAGCACTGATTTCGCATTCGCATCTGCTGTTATTATTACTGGAATATCCCTGTAAGCTTGGAATATTCTTTTCATCTTTAAGATGTATTCTTCAATCCCATCTTTGAATTGGCAGTATATGTTAGCGATGATGAATTTGCCATAGTTTGTCTGTAGTTCCACACAGACGCAGTGCTCGTCACTGAACTGTTTTAGTAGAAATAGTCTGTGGTTCTTGTTAAATAATACAGTTACTGCCATAGGATTTTGCCCCACATTTTGTACTTGTGCCGTTATCGGCATATTGACCATTTTACCGCCTTTTGTGTACGGCTCTTGTATGCACAGCGTATCTAGTTTCTTTTCCTCCGCAGCTTTCCTTATCTCGTGACCAACTTCCGCACTGCGCATGCAGTTGATCTGTCCGATCTGGATCGCTACGGGGATCTTAGATGTATATGGCACTGCGGCCATGGTTTTGTGTGGTCAAATGCTATTCTGCCATGGGTGATTGCAAAGTCCCTGTATAATTCTTCAAGATCCAAGACTTCATTTCTTCTTTGGAAGACTTGTTTTAAAAGTCCCTCTAGCTCAATGACGTCTGTTGGAATGTTATGACATTTTAACTGAATCCGATCCACCGCTCCCGGAACCGGGAAGGTGATCTTATCTCCCTTTTCGTGCTTGACCCTCACATAGTGCCGTAAGGCAGTTGTGAGGATTGTCGCTTCCTCTAACCTCGAGAGTTTCATGTTTATTTCGATGTTGTCATAAATTGTTTTAGGGTCGGTTTTTTCGACTTCCTCGATCTCTTTGGGTTCGGCTTCTTTTTTCTTTCTTCTAAAAGATATCATTCTGAGCTTGTCCCTTATGCTTTTTGACGTGGTTTTCTTAGGTTTTGTTGTTATGACCAATTCCTCCCGGGGGAGATTACTGGCCATAATCTGTATTTTGGATCATCCTGTCCAGCAGCATCTTATGCGTCTGGCAGTCCGATCCGTTCTTACATGTTTTGCCCCTGTACTTGCATGGTATGCAAATACCTGGGTCCTGCTTCTTTGGGCTGTCTTTCTTTTCATGGTCCACTTCGCCACAGTGTCTGCAAACATTCTCCGTTTTGGAGCAATATTTCCCAATGTGGCCTAAATCCTGGCATTTCAGGCATTTAGGTACCACGAGATAATCCTTGGTATTCACACCCGTGAAACCAATGTACAGCTTTCTGCCCAGCATACGTTTTCTCAATTGTGGAGATACTTCCACAACTGAGTTCGCAGTTTGCCTGTCCTTCGGTCCAGTCTTGAACCTTATTTTAAATTCCTTTTCAAAATCTTCGGCTTTGATATCCTCAAAATTCTGTGAGCGGATATCTTCTATGGTTTCTAATTCTGGCTTATTCACCGCTACGTCATAGATTATGACCAGCGGTCTCTTTTTCTTTGGTAATTCACATTTGAAATTCTTCTTCATATTGGGGTTATTCATGATCTTGTCTATATCTTCTTTCGAGGATGCCTCAATTATGAGTGCCTTAGCTGTTGTCCTCATTTTATTTATTTTTAGAATTTGGGTCCTTGGGTCTAGAATTTTAGTGACCTCATCTTGAACTTTCTTATCGTTATTGAATTTTTCTGACGTTATAAATAACGTGTGTTCGGGTTTTTGTCTGTGCCTCTCAATTATGGTTTCTCTCTCCGAAAGCTTAATTGCGGGTTTTGAGGCCATCGAAGCGTATGATACTGGCATCACTTTACCTTCGTTTGTCTTTAGTTCTGTTCTCAGTCTGTTATTTTCTTCTTTCGGAGCATGGATCCTCCCTTCGAGGTTGGCCTGCTCTAATGCCCATTCTTGGATTCTCTCAATGAGTCCTTCCCTTCCTGCTTTCGCCAACCTTTTGCCAGTGTCCATTTCATTATTTATGTAATACATCATCTCACTAAACCTTGATTGCGTGCCTGCTGCTGCTGCCGCATTGCACATATCTGCCTCACTGGCAGTGTTCCTCCTAGACCTAATTTTGCTAGTGACTGTTATCTGATTGTTACAACTACTTTCCTCTAAATTATCAGCCATCTTGCCTTACAGGGGTCTCCCGCTCGGGAGGCCCTCTAACGAGATTCCCACGTGGTCCCTACCCTAGATGTTTGTTTTCTTTTCGTGCTCTTTGCCCTACCGTGGAGCTTAGTGCGGGAGGACCCCGGCTTATTGCCACGAAGTGGTTTCCGCCCCCGACCAACGAGGAGGTGGCACTTTTTCCACTATCTAGCTGTTTGTTGGTTTTACCGAATTGTCAAGTACGCACTGAAGACAACCGGTTTAGAAAGCTATTATTTGCCTAAATGATTCGCTTAAACGCTTAATCGCTTTCTACAGTGATACTCCAACAAGTAATCACTGGCCCGAGGGCGGACATGTGTCCGAAACCCTGACACTTATAACAGCGAACCACTCTTATGTGATATCTCACCGGGCAAGCCGTCCAGTCAAGGTATAATTTTTTCCTATCTAAAATTTTTTGTCGAGTCCTGGGACTACATTCTATTACCCAGGTGCAGGTAGGATTGTTTCTGTCTCCAAATTTGTATTTGACACTAACTTCTTCGGGATCGTCAATGGGTATTTCTAAATCGTCGTTTATTCTGGCTGAAATCCTGTTCGCTGTCCAGTCGCTCTTGACTCCGAGGACTGCAATCCTTGGATTTGAATTTTTGCCGTCAGTCCAGCTTTGTTAAGAACATCTTCGTTAACTTGATTGTTTGCTGATAGAACTTTTACTGCAGTGCCAGAGGTCTGAAAACACTTTTCGACCCTCATGCCTACATCTAGAGGATTAAGTCTTTTAAGGATCGCCATTGTGTCGTCGCTATTCTTTATATCTTTATTTCCCTGTAACGGTTGCACTATAAATATATTGTTCTTTGAAGGTTCTACTGATTTGCCTCTAGCCGCCTGTATTTTGACTGCTTGGTTTTTTGACAGTCTCAACTTGTCCTAAATGCAGGATAAGTTTTGTGAAAGCCATTGTCATCTTTTCAAGGCTACTGGTCATGTTGTACTTCCTGGTAACTGATTCTTCAGAAGTAAGTAGAACATTCAGAATTGTTTCTTTTGCTTCGGAAAAGTTTTTTATTGCTTCGAGTGCTAGGGCTGTGGCGCCAGTGCCCATATATTCAGAGCCATTAGTGATGAAGTTTGTGTCTACAGTTTCATTGGACTTATCAATATTGCATTCCATATTTAGGCTTTGTGCAGTTTCCGAGGAGGAGTCCTCTTCTCTATTTTTAAGGCTGTCAGCTCTAGGAGCATTTTCAGAATGTTCCTCTTGAAAATTCATAATTGGAGTTGTTCGTGATAGGTTTATTATTAAATTTTGGTCCATTTCTATTCCCACGAGTAGCTAGGGATTATAACAGTCGAACTCTGCAGAGCCCCGCTTGAAGAGCCAAGGCTATTTGCCTCAAGATTTCGCCAATTTCTTGAGTCTGACGCTAATGACGCCATCACCCTGGCGCCACACACACCCTTGGCATGTCAACCGTGATGTTGGGGATTTTTTATCGAGGTTTACTCCTCTAAGGTTGAGCCGTCCTTAGCTTCACCGCTCATCCTCGACCTTACCGGCAAGGGTGACCCTGCCAGGAGCTCTAGCTCCCGCCGGCATTGCTCTCGGAATCATTGCGGCTACTGGTTCCCCCACCACGAAAAGGTCTCACGGCTCCTTGGGGGGATGTGGGTAGAGACAAAAAAACAAAGGAAGAAGCGAGAAAATTCCCACCTCCACCCCTGCTCAATTGCAGGCTACTGACTTAACTTTGAATAGCTAAATTAAAGAATTATAAGCTCAATAATAATAATATTAAAAAGAAAGTACTTATGAAATTACTGTCTTTAAGTTAGGGTACCTGCCTTTCGGCTTACCTCCTAACTCCTTTTTAAACTATTTTTCTCGCTTTTTCCCTTTTTCCAACTTTTACCTTCCTTTTTTCTTTTTCCTTTTTTCATTCTTTATTTCAAATACCTATATTACAAAACTAATTATAATATCCATTATATCCATACATTAACTTATACAATTCAACTTAAATATTAGCTCACTATTTATCGATTATGTCTATTTGTGATTAATTTCTCAAGTATATCTAAGTTAGGTCCTAAGTTAATAATAACTTCTTCGGGGTCTCCATCTAAAGCCATCTGATGTGTTGAATTCCTTATTTCCTGTCTTTCATTTACATAATTAAGGCAATTAGTAAGTCGATGACTTGGTGTATCTGGTTCATCGCATAAGAGGCAGTTTGAACTTGCAGTTTTGCCTATACGATACAAATGCAATCTAAATTCTCCATGACTAGTTAGAAAAGATATCGCAGTTCTTCCTGGACGTTGATGTGGAGTATTAAGCCATAGATTGATGTTCCTTATTAAGGCATAGGTAGATCGACCTTTTTGAGTGTTATCCCACTCAGTCTGCCACCGCATAATAGTTCTATGTTCTAAGTCATCAACCACATTCTTCCAATATCTATAATTTTCTACCTGGATCATATCTCCCAAAAAGGTAGTAATTCCACTATTTTTCAATTCTGTCTTAGCATGGTTTTGTAATAGTTCTAAATGCAAAGGTTTAATTTTGGCAATAACGCAAAGCGTTTCGTTGGGAGTTGTGATATATGATCCTGTTATGCTCTTCAAACAAAGAGCTTGCAGACTTCTAAGATTTCTTTGAACAGCTTTCAAATTAGTTTTATCAATCCAGTATTCAATCCCATAAGTTAGTATAGGTATAATAGCTTTGTGATATATGACGCTTGTAGAGTTGGCTAATTTGCCCCAGTTGATAAAAATATATTTTCTAAACATCTGAAAAATGTTACGACATTTATTAATTATGTATTCTATATGCTCTTGAAAGTTTAATTTTTCATCTAAAATGATACCCAAGTATTTGATATTTCTAACTCTGCCCACTGGTTCACCATTTAATCTAATAGAGGGATTCCTATTATGCGAGAGTTTAGAAAATATTATATACTTAGTTTTTGAACGTGATATTTCTAATTAATGATTAATCGCCCAATTATTTAATATCCTTCAACAGTGATTAGCTCTTAATTCTAACTGATTTCGGTTGTTTGCGTTTATACTTATGGCGACATCATCTGCATATGCAGTTATTCTGACATTATCCGGCCAGTTCGATCTTATGAGTGGTTCCACAATTATATCCCAAAGGAATGAGCCCAATGCTGATCCCTGGAGACATCCCTTAGTCAGTCGCTTTGAAGTCTTTGTTGACAATAGCCCATATTCAACAATCCTATTTGTCAGATAACTTTTTATTAATCCAATAAGGTTCTTAGGCCAGCCCAAATTATGCAAAAACTCTAGTAATTTAGGCCACCACATATTGTCGAATGCTCCAGTAATGTCTATGAATATGACCATATGATGTACGCTTTCTTGCTTTATGTGCTCCAAAACATTGTCTAATGCCTGTATCGTGCTCCTACCCGGCACAAAACCATACTGATTAGGGCTAATAATTTCGTTTCTATTATATTTTTTGCAGACAGCATTTATTACTGTTCTCTCAAACATTTTGCCTAATTCTGAGAGCAAAGTTATAGATCTTAATGATTTAGGATCAGTTATGTCTTTATTTAATGATTTTAATATAGTAACTATTTTGCCTCTTTTCCAATTATTAGGAAAATATTGCATTTCTAAACATTTCCTATATAGCAGAAGAAGATTTTCTTCAATTTCTGGAAAAGCTAAGGCAAGAATTTTACCATGAACAGCATCCAAACCAGGAGATTTATATGGCTTTATTGCAAATAGGGCACTTAAAATATCTTCTTCTAAAATATCTAATTCTTCTAAGGGATTACCTATAAAGGTATCAATTCTATTTCTTGTTTCCCTATTACAATCTTGATCCGTTGCTGGAAGATCATCAGGCATTAATTTGCCTAAAATTGCTTCTATTGTGTCTAAATGGTCAATTGTCATATTACCTTCATGGTCTTTAACAGTCGAGCTAGGAAGCTTGGGTCTAATTTTTTCTGCAGCAAGCTTATAAGTCAAACCCCAGGGATTTACTCCTAAATCTTTTTCAACAAACTCACACCAAGTACGATTTTTAGAAATTTTTATTTCTTTTTTATACTTTCTCAACTCAGTATTGTACTCTATCTGTAATCTATGGTATTCATTAAAGTTACCTCTTCTACTTGCTCTTTGATATCTTCGTCTCTTATTTACTACTGAATTTTTAAGTTCAGTAAGTCTGTTTGTCCACCAAGGAGCAAAACCGACCACTTTTTTCTTTTTTCTTGCTGTGATTCTTGTGATATTTTAAAGTCCACTTGTTAACTTTTTTACAAATTCATCTAATTCCTCCTTATTACCAACTCCAAAATTGTTTAATTTTGCTGCTAACTCACGAGAGAGTCCTCTTAAAGTATCTAGCTTTATAATTTTTATATCATATTTTTCTGAGTCTTCTACTTCTAATTCTGCTTGTATGTTTTTACGAATATAAAATTCGATTAATCGATGATCGCTCTGCGCTTCTCCTTCTTTAACTACCCAGTTATTTATTTTACCAGCAAGTTCACTTTAACTAAAAGTAATATCTATATTTGACTCACCATTAGTAGTTGAAAAAGTATATAGTCTTCCAGCTAAATTATGCACCATTAAATTGTTGGCCACAATACACTCATCAATCAATCTACCTCTAGCATTGGTAATATTTGAAAACCAACTCGTAGATTTAGAATTAAAGTCTCCCATTATAAGTAATGAGCGATTATTTCTCATAGTATTCAAATTTGAAATTTTTTTAATAACTTCAACTAAAGTTTCTTCATCTTCAGGTGGACAATAGATACTTGCCGCCAAATAAGCAAATTTTTTGTTTTTTAATGACACTACTGCCATATCTTCATTTATAAGCTGTGTAATCTTTACAGCTTCTAATTTTTGATATATATGATGACTAAAGCTGCCTTTGGCTTGATTTCACTGCTATATATTGTTAAATATTGACTAAGTCCTGGTATAATGTAATGATTTTTATTGTTTTTATAGCTATAAGGTTCTTGCAGCGCAACTAGATCGTATGCCTCTTTAATTATTACTCTCGAAATTTCTGAAGTAGCCAATCTAGAGCCTTGTAAATTTATTTGACCAACTTCCAATGAATTACTTTTGTGGACCATAATCAATGTTACTTATATATGTTCTTTTCCTTTGTATGTAAATAGGGCAATCTTTGTCATTTGCTTCATGCTCACTTTCTGCTGCTGGAAGCTTATTAAATTTACAGTTGGCACATTTAGGGATATTCTTATTTCGACATTCTTTAGTTGAGTGTTCCTCAGCACAAATTCCACAGACTTCTTTATTTCTACACTTTGTAGCTATGTGGCCATAGTTTTGACACTTAAAGCATCTAATTATACTTATATGGTCTCTTACAGAACACGAAATCCATTCCAAATATAGTCTGCCTCTTTTCAAGAAATCTTCCCTGATATCATATTCACATTCTATGATCCAAGTAACTGTTTCCGCTTCCCTGTTGCCGAACTTAAATAATGCCTTTACTTCTTTTTGATGCCTAATAGGTATTTCTAAATCATCATTAATCTTATTCTCGGTTTTGTCAGCTGTCCACTCTTTCGGTACACCTATTACAGCTATTATTGGTTTATATTTAGTCAGTCTTTTGTTGATAAGCCCAACTTTATTTAACTCACCTTCATTAACATTTGCTTCTGCGGCAATAATTTTCACTCCATTATTACTAATTGGCAGGATTTTCTTAGCTTTGATTCCAACATTTTCTGCTTTTGTTCTTTTTATAGTATTCAAGGTCTCATATGCTGGATTTAATAACATTATTTCCTTCTTTTGGATAAATTAAAACTATATTATTAGATGATGGAGTAAATTTTTTCCCATTTCCCAAAGGTATGCCTATCGTCTTAGGGCAAAGTGCTGCAGCTTCTGCAAATGTAGGCTTCTTTATATTTTCAATCTTAGTGCTTATGACGTTTATTTTCTGATTTAGTAACTCTAGAGTGTCTGATACTCTCAATTCAGCTGCCTTCTGATTAGTATAAGTAAACATATTTATAAATGCACTGGTCATCATTTCTAAGGCTTCTATAGCTGCTTTTTTACGATTTGTACTCTCTTTAGAAGAGTTGAGCATATTTATTATAATTTCTTTAGCTGCAGAAAATTGAGCAAGACTTTCACTTGAAACTTTTGTAGCTTCATTTCCAATTGTTCTTTGACTAGCTTCTATATATTCATTATTCACTATTTTGCTTACTTTATTGTCAGTTCCTGCTGGTGTTTCTTCACCTGATATAATAACAGAATCTGTTACGCTCTGCCCATCAACATGCTCGCTAGGCAAGTCTGAATTTTCTTTATTTATACTTTGACTTTGTGTTTGTACTTGTGTTAATTTTATAATTACATCATCCATATCTGTTCCCACGAATTGCGAAGAAATGAATACAGTCTACACAGTGCTCGCTTATGTAGACCGGGCTAATTTCAATGGGAGTCGCCGTTTCCCAAGGTTCTTGCTCATGACAGCTTCACCCAACTGCCACTCATACCCTAAGCGCAAGCCACCTTAGTATTGGGGATTTTTTATCGAGGTTTACTCCTCTATTTGGTGAGCCGTCCTTAGCTTCACCGCTCCTCCTCGATCTTACCGGCAAGGGTGACCCTGCCAGGAGCTTAAGCTCCCGCCGGCATTGCTCTCGGAATCACTGCGGCTACTGGTTCCCCCCACCAACGAAAAGATCTCACGGCTCCTTGGGGGGATGTGTGTAGGGACAGATGTCTTGAAGTTTTACGTGCCTTTCCTGCCGTGAGGCTCTAAGACACGACCTCCCTAGAGATATAACGGGGTCCAGATACGCTGGTCCAACGCGCCCAACCGCAAGGGTTGAGCTACCGAACTGCCGCGACCATTTGCATTCCAGTCTTCGGCCTCTTCGGTATGAGCGAGCACCTATCCAAGCTCTACTAGTTCTGCAGACTAGCACCCGAGCTGTAACGCAGCTCACCCGTCGTATCACAAGTGATACTAGCCAGCATATGGCTCCAACCACTGCCCCCCAGAGTCCAACCCTTACGGTCGCACATGACACGAGGCAGAGAACTTTCACACTCACGCCTAAGTCATGGGGCTGTAGCGACCCCCTGGGTACCGAATACGTGCTAGGCCTCGGTTCGGCCTATTCACAAGTGCTTTCTGGGTTATTCTCAACCAGTCCAGTCCTTGCTACAATTTTAGGGAGAATGCATCCCAGACCTTGCTATAGTCAGCTCGGGTGCGTGGGCGCGCCAAGCCCAAAACGTCTACTAACCCACTATATGTGTTTTCCGCTATACTCTATAGGGTACTAATACTTATAGCAGGCATCTTCAACGTTCCCTGCGCCATGGCCCGACCTAAGTCGGGCCAATTCCTCCGCATCCTCCTATCCTCTCACTCGCTCTTAATAATTTACTAGCATTCTGCTGCTATGAATTTAGTTCAGTTGGAAGTACTACCTGCAGTGCTTTCGGGTACACTCTAGACTTATGTCTAGGACCGTCCTTACTACTACTACACTTTCCCACCAACATGCCCTAATTCTCACAGCCCTTTCATTCTTGTAAAAATATAACTCTCTTTGAAATATACTATTTCTACTATTTTCATTTCAACTTCATAATCCAAACAATAATACTAATTCCATTTTTATATCATCGCTTTCCTTCTTGTAAATAGTTCAACCGCAAATTTATTCATTTCTCTATATGAATGTTCATATCTACAAACGTCTTCATAATTCCACCTGTTTACACCTTCTTGTTGTATCTCCATTCTCTCTATATTTCTTATATCATTATATATCCTACAATCTGTTAATACGTGTTCCCACGTCTCTATTTCATCACCGCATGAACATCGATCATTATCTGCTAACCTTCTTTGGTATAAAAATGCCTTTAAACTTCCATGTCCTGTTAATATGAAATACATTTCCAAACTTGGGCCAAACCACTTCCAATTTCTTACTACTCTTACATCCGCAATAAACTTCTTTGTTACTATCCCCACCGCGTCTACCGTCCATTCTTCCTGCCATTTATCATCTAAATATAATTTTTTTGCCTTTATTCCTAATTCTACCCATTCTTGTCTTCTTTCAATTAATTCCTCTTCAATCCGCATATTTCCTTATTCTAGTCCTTTTTTCATTCTATACAATATCCCTCTTTTTACAGCCTCATGTCTCCATGGTAATATTCCCATTAATACCTCCATTGCATGAGTTGATACTGTTCTACATACTCTTAAGCTTGCATATAACCCTACTCTCTCCACTTTATCTAGTGCTTTTTTCATTTTTACCTTCTTCAATTCCTTATACCATATTGCCGCTCCATATAATGCGCATGAAGTCAGCAATCCTTTATATAACACTACTACTGCCTTCTTTCTCAAACCCCATTCTTTCCGCATTATTCTACTAATTTTTCCTACTACCGCACTTACTTTCTTATTCAATTCTTTCAAATGTACCGAAAAATCCATATTCTTTCCTATTTTTATTCCTAAATATTTTACTTCATCTACCATCTTTATATTCTCTTCATTAATTTTTACAATCGGATTTCTATTTAATTTACCTTTCATCATCATCATTACCGTTTTCGTTTTCGAAACTTCAACTCCTGCTGTACTTTTCCAATTCACAACTCTAGTCATCCATTGTACCGCTTTACGCTCAATCACATTTCTACTACTTCCTTTCACTAATATCAATAAATCATCTGCATACGCAATAATCGCACACCCCGCATCTTCTAACTCGTTCAATAAATCGTCCATCACCATATTCCACATAACGGGTCCACAAATAGATCCCTGTGGACATCCTCTATTAATAATTCTTTCCACTTTTTCCGTTTTACCTTCAAATAATACTACTCGATTATTAAAATAAGACTTCCACATCTTCATTTCGGTACAATTATTTCCTCTTAATTTTCGTTTCACTATATCCCATTCTAAATTGTCAAACGCACCTTTAAAATCCACAAATATTCTTAATATATATTTATCATTACCTTCTTTGTTTCTATTGTCTATTGTTTGTACTTTTTCCCACGCATCTTCTACTGATTTTTTCTTCCTAAACCCAAATTGAAAAACACTCCTTCTTTCTAATATTCCTTCCATGCGATTTACTAATAATTTTTCTAAACATTTTCCAAGACCACTCAGCAAATTGATTGCTCTATATGATCTTGGATCCATCTTATCCTTATCTATACCCTTTAACAATACCACCACATCTCCTATCTTCCATTTCTCCGGAAAAATTCCATTCCTCAAACAATTATCAAACAAATTCTTTACATACTCTGGTATTGCAACCCACATTCTCTTTATCATTTCGTTTTTAATTCCATCAATACCTGGCGCTTTTCCGCTATTTAGAGTTAATATCACATCTTTTATTTCCTCTCTTGTAAATTCATCAAATTCATTTCCTTCTTCTATTTCATCTTCTCCTTCTTGCCTTCCTGGCGGAAACCATTCTTCTAATAAGACATTTATTGTCTCTACTCAACTTTCTGTAACTCTATTTCCTACCTTCATCACACTTCCATCCATTATTATTCCTTTTCCCCATACATATTTTATATGCACTACTCCACGGATCCGCATTACCATCATTCTTAACATATTCCTCCCATCTTTTTCTTTTCGTATTTTTAATTTCAATTCTATATCCTCTACACTTCCTCCTATACTCTTCCTCTCTTTCATCATTGTTTAAACCTGTTCGCCTTCCTACTTGCACCTTCCTCCTACACTTCCTCGGTTCTCTGCGTAAATTATTTAATTCTTCATTCCACCACCCTTCTCTACTATTTACTTTAACCTTTTTCAAACATTCCTCATTCGTTTCCTCTAACCATTTATATACAATATTCATTTGTTCGTTTATATCACAATTCATATACTGACCTATATCGCAATTTTCAGTTTTTCCTTCTAATGTCGCAATATAACTCTCCCAATCTACATTTTTAACTGACCATTTAATTTTATTCACATTATTTTGCCAAAGATCCTCATTGAAATTTATTTCTATTTCTATCACATTATGATCGCTTATTCCTATTTCACTCCTAATTCTCCATGTCATCTCAAATTTCCAATTATCGTTTATCATTGTTACCTCTATATCACTTTCTCCCATTGGTCCACTATAAGTATAATCTTCGCTATATTTATTAATAGCTATTAAATTATTACCTACCATCATATCTCATTATTTCACCTCTTCTAAATCTTTCATCATCCCTTATATTTTTACTCGACCACATGGGAGAAACCGCATTTGTATCCATTCCTAAAATCATTGCTTTCCCGTTTACTTTCTCTATTACATTCTCTATTTTCCTTTTTATAATTTCAACATCCTCTTCAAATTGACAATAAACTGATACAACAACCATTTCGTATACCCCTATTTTTATCATAGCACACGCTATATACTTATTCATTAATTCTATCCTACCTATACTCTCTATTTTATCATTCGCTATCATTATTGCCGCTTTACCATCCTGCTTCATTATTATTCTCATATTTTCTGGTAATCCTACTATTATTCCCTTCCTCATATATGGTTCTTGTATCAGCGCAATCGATATATTTTCCTCTTTCATTATTACTCCTAATTCACACATTACTATATATGATCTTTGGCAATTCAGCTGTATTATTTTAATATTTTTAAACATTAAACATCTCCCTATTCCTCAGATATTCCAACTTGCGCTTATATTCTGGACAATCTCCAGAATCTGTTGCATGCGCCAGTTCTTTTCCTGTTTTTTCAAAACATGATTTACACTTCATCCTTTTTCTGCAATTCCTCGCATCGTGTGAACTTCCGCCACACTTCCTGCAGACATACCCTCTTTCCTTACATTGATCTGCCCTATGATGCACACTGCAACATTTAAAACATCTCTTAACAATATCTACCTCCTTTACTTTACAAGACCTCCATCCTACATACACATATCCTTTTCCTATCCAATATTCCGCAATCTCATCGTTCAAACTTAATATCACATTATCCAAATCATGCCTCATTCTCTTCCGACCATCTACTTTAACCCAATTATTAAAATATTCCACCGTTACCCTCGACATTCCATTTTTGTTATACAAATCTTCCAATAACTCCGCATCAGTAATTTCTTTTGGCACATCAAATACAATTACCTTCGGATTTATTTTTATTGCCTCCGCTATCTTTAAATTTTTTCCTTTAATTTTTGTCCTTATATTCTCAGCATCTTCCTGAGTTGCTGCCTCTATAACTACCCCATCTTTTATTTTTCTTACCGTCCTTACTCTCACCGTCTTCAAATCCCTACTCATTTCATCTACCTTCTTCATTATCTCTTCTACTTTCTCTCCTTTATCGCTCTTTACTGCTACCGCAAATGTCTTAACCTCCACTTTTTGTTTTACAACAGGCTGCATCACCTTACTATTCACACTAGCCTGTGGTACAGCTGTATTAGTTATACTAGGCATTACCGCCATTAATTTTACCAATGCTCTGCATTCCTTCCCCCTACCTCTAGCTTCCGCTCTCTCCGCTATTAGTTTGCTTATAATTTCCTCCATTACCGATACCTCATCTAAAATATATGACGAAGCTACTTTAGAAATCTTGTTGGAATCATCCAACACAAATTTCTTTATGTCCTTCGACACCATTACCATCTGCTCTACCCTTTCTTAATTTCTCCGCATACCGTCTGCTCACTATCCTCATTTTCATTAGTTTCTTTATTATTCCTCATGATCATTCCCACGAGTCTTTGGCTTCTAACAGGTCAATGTCGTTTTGCCATACGACACAAGGCTTATTTTACTAGAGGCGCCATCTTCTAGTAGTTCGGACGTTTAGGGATAGGCCCTACTCCACCTATCTTGGTTGCCGCCTGGCAACGTCCGCAACCCTACGACAAAAGAATTTTTATAGTTGTATTTTCAACTTGAGCCAGCTGGTTAAGGCAAGCCCGCCGGCCTGATTAGCGATGGCTACCGCTGCTGTACATTACACACGGGCATCTCGTTTTTTGCGGCCAACTGAGACCGACCAGTCAGAGCAAAAGCTCATTTCCATCTCGGTCCCATGGCCACACACGAGCCAAATCCCAGTACCACGCATCGGGTCGTTGTCATCATTATCCCTTCGGGAGCTGGCAGGTTACGGCGCTTGGGGGTACTCAAAGTTCGCTATGCTCTTCACCAACATTTCTGTATGGTGCCCTCCGAGGTGAATAATTTTATAGCGATATTCCTTCGCTTGGACTCAGATCTTGTTTACGCATCATATCAATAGAAGTGATTTGCCACAAGTTTCTGAATCCGCCGGCTTCTCTTTCGAGAAGTTACGACATGACAGGTTGGATGAGCTCCATCCTGCTGAGCACATCCTTCCTCCTCGCATCCCATTTTTAAACTTAAGCCATTACCATACCCTCTCTTTCTTGACTCTTCCTCGGCTGGCAGAGCACACCTCACTCTCCATTCAAACCACAAAAAAAGGCGGACCAGAGGGCGGGCAGACCTCATTGGTCCGCCACACCTTCCGGCCCGCAGTTTAGCGAACAGAAATAAGAGCGTAAAACTCCGCATTTCCATACTATCGCCTTATTCACCAAGGTCTTTATAATTAATTCTGCCCTTCCTCTTCTCCAGTCCAATCCACTTGTGTCCCTTCTACTCCTCCTCGATCCCCACCATCCCATTGCTATATGAAGTATATCCTGAGATCCCGTCAAACGGTACTCTCAAGTAACTCCAGCAAATGGTCGGTCATCGATCGATTACGAGATAGGAGGTGATCACTTGGTTCACGGCTTGGCAATCCGACGGGTACGAGCATTTGTCACGCAGAGAGATTTTAAGTCACCAGGAAGCCACATCTGAATCCTATCAACAGACTCTACCCAAATCATCAGGTCCCTCTACGCGCCCCCCGATCCTATTTGTCTCATGTTACACCTACCTTTTGATCACTCTTCAGGGATTTCCTAATGGTGTGCCTTTGTCAATTCAGGGCATATTATCAACTTAGCTTCATTCATATCTTTCTTTGGCTTATTCCTTTTGCCATTTGGAATCTACATCAGCTCTAGGGTCCTGGTTATGCAGCCGACTTCACTGCATAGCACTTATCGCTTTCTCCTAGGAGACCGCTGCGCTGCAGTATCGTCAGCTACCCATTCTCCCACTGATTTAACTCCTGGCCTATTCTGGGATTTCATGCCTTTTTATATAGCGGCTCTTCTCCGCTTGATCATATGATACACGGTTCGGGAATCCGCAGGATGGATTATTTCCCAAACTGGTTCCATAATCACGTCGTTCCATACTTACTCGTTTAACAGCAAGCTGCTACGTGCATCGCAGGTTTACGACTCCATGCCTGACAGATTCCTTCTGCCCCTACCCCAGTATGCCATGCTGCATGGAAAGCACAGCTGACTATCATTAGCTAGTTGTTGGCCCCTAGTAACCTAAGGACCACCAACCACCCAGTGGCTACTCCTAGGAAGTTGATAGTCGTGAGCTTTTTCGATATCCATCTGCCTCGACGGACCTGGCCTTAGACTTTTGGCATCCAATGAGGTTTGCCGAGGTTTGTTCCATCGCAAACCGGACAGATTATCTTCAGCTTGGTAGAAAAGATATCACCTGTAAAGCATGTCCTGTAGAGGGGGACATTCAACTTAGGTGTGTATCTCAACTACCGCCACCTGTGGGTAGGGACAAAAAAAAAAAGGAGGGTTTAAGAGATCCCACCACCACCCCTACAACTTAAATTTGTAGGCATCTCTTAGCAAATGGGGACAGTTTAAATGGGACCAAAATAACTTAATTAGTGGAAGTCTTTACGACTTCGAAGCACCTGCCCTTAGGCTTATCTTCGGGATTCTGACATGGGTAGGATTGCAGGAATTTTATAGGTTGCCTCCTTTTGTTTTGTAATACTACTTTATTTTCAAATTTATAATAATACATATATCATTTTAGTTTATAAGAATATATAACATATATTAGCAAAGATTTTATCAGATTTTTGTTTACTAAACTTAGTCTTCTTTCTTCTTTATTTCTTCTGTCTTGTCTTCTTTCTTGCAATTCTTCTGTCTTGTCTTCTTTCTTGCAATTTTGAACATAATCAGTCTTCAAGTTTTCATGTTATTTGTTCCTGAGAAATTTTGTGAGATCTTCAATTTTACCTACGCCGTCTTGGTTCTTGCGTTAGAAAAGATTCCAGGATACCAAGGTCTTGGCCCAGTTCTTGTATGATCTCATGTGGTTCCAATACTCCCCGTCCTGAGACCATATATAGGTCTTGTCTTTCTTGTGTGAAGTTGATGCAGTCTATCAGTCTATGGCTGGGGGTGTCCTCCATGTCCTCTATACAATTCAGACACATTGAGGATTCTGTCTTTCCTATCCTTTTTAGATGAAACCTAAATTCACCATGAGAACTAAGAAAGGATGTAATTTTCTTATTAAATCTCACATGAGGGCAGTTGAGCCAGACTCTTAAGTCTCTTATTAGTTCATAAGTTTTCCTCCCCTTCCTGGAGGTATTCCATAGGTCTTGCCATTGGTCTAAAAGCCTGTCTTCTACATGAAGTCTAACTGCCACCCCAAATCTAAATTCGGCGGATACTATATGTTCTCCATAAAGATGTGTACTTTCAATGTTTTTAAGTTGTTTAAGTGCTACAACTTTTTGGATTTCTAGATGCAACGGAGGTATTTTAGCGATAACATTCACAGTTTCACATGGAACTGTTTTATAAGCTCCGCTTATACATCTCAGGCATACTGCCTGGAGAGATCGCAATTTGGCTATGTTCTTTCTTAGGGTCAGTTCATGATTCCAGTACTCCGCTCCGTAAGAGACTATTGGTATTATTACGGTTTTATATATTGTTGTTAAAGCTTTACTATAGCTCCCCCATCTACTATATGTATATTCCCTTAGTGCTTGAAAGATACTTTTACATTTGCCTAAAATATAGTTCAAATGTTTGTCAAAGTTCAACTTATCATCCAGTATTATTCCTAGATATTTGATATGATCAGTCCTTGCTAAAAGTCTGCCTTCATATCTGATGGCTGGATTTCTATTTCTTCCAATATTTGATAAAATTAAGTATTTTGTTTTAGCATAGGAGATTTCTAATTTGTGTGCTTTCGCCCATTGTGCTAGGATTCTGAGGGCACTATTGGCCTCAATTTCTAAATTCCTTCTATTATTTGCTTCAATCCCGAGACAGATGTCATCTGCATATGCAGTAACTTCAACAGCGTTTGACCAGTCTGCCCGTAATAATGGCTCAACCGTTAAGTTCCATAAGATAGGTCCTAGTGCCGATCCCTGGGGGCAGCATTTTGTTAGGTTCTTTTCTGCATGACAGAATTTAGATTCATATTTAACTGATCGGTTGGTCAGATAAGTTCTTATAACACCAAGCAGATCAGCAGGAATTCCAATCTCGTGCATATATTTCAACAATCCGGGCCACCACATATTGTCAAAGGCCCCTGAAATATCGACAAAAATTAACATCTTGTGTTTGCTAGGCTTGTTTACAATATTCAGCACTTTCTTTATAGCATCGAGTGTACTTCTGCGTGGAGTAAAACCAAATTGGGAGTCACTAATTAAGTCTTCCGTATACCTTTTCAGCAGCTGAATAATCACTCGTTCCAACATCTTTCCTAATTCCGATGACAGCGTTATTGGACGTAAGGCTTTTGGGACCCTAGGGTCTTTGTCAAGTGATTTGATGATGGTGATGAGTTTGCCTTGCTTCCATTTATTAGGAAAGTATCTATATTTTATGCACTCTTCGAAAAGACTTAAAAGGCAGTCTTTTATTTCGCCATAGCAGTAGACCAAAATTTTGCCGTGTATATTATCAGATCCTGGGACTTTGTTTTTTCTAATTGCCTGTATGGCTGTGTCAAGATCCTCTTGGGTGAGCAGCACTTCAACTTCTCTGCCATTGAATTGTTCTTGATTCTGTCTCCACTCAGTATTAAGTTCATTATCAGTGATTGGGTCATCACTCGGCATCAGTTTATTTATTATGTTGGAAAAAGTATCTTCAAAATTGGTGGTAGTGGAGCCATGGTCATTATAGACGGTGTTCTGCATCGTCTTTATTTTGATCTTATTGGCTGCGATCTCATAGGTTACTCCCCAAGGATTTCTACTTAGGTCATTCTCGACAAATTCATCCCAGGACTTTTTCTTGGACTTAAGAATTTTATTTTTGTATCTATTTAGCAGTGTTTGATATGCTTCTCTGGTGTTCCTTCTAATTCCTTCTGCTAGGTTATTCCTTCTTGTTCTCTGGTAGCGCTTTCTGGCTATCTTGACCTCCTCTTTAAGTGCTTTGATCTCATTGTTCCACCAAGGAGCAAACCTTGATGGGTTGCTCACTTTTTTACCGACTCTTGTGGTTATTTCAATTAGCCTTTCAGTAATTACTTCTATGTAAATGTCAATGTCTTCTATATTGTTTAGAGGCATGTTTCTTAGTTCTTCAGCTAATCCAGTACTGTAAGGAAGCACATGTTCTTGCGTAACGTGCTTTATATTATATTTGTCCTCTAGATCATCCTGTTCTAATAAGTCCTGATCACTTATTTCTATTTTGATCCATGAATGGTCACTTTGGACC